TTATATACATATTTGAGTTATACTATTTTCGTATATTATAATTATAAGTTATAGAACTTATCTCGAAAACTTACTAAATTTTCGATATCTGCATTTTTGTTTCTTCAACATCAGCCGTTGAAAAAAACACCATTGCACGATCTTATTGTCCAAAAAGGAGGCAAAATGGTAAGATAATGGATGAAAATTGTGTTTGAGAGGTTCAGAAAATATATATCCTCAAATTAATGGCACATATTGAAGGTTCCTTTCGCTGGATGGTCCATGCCAGTGCATTTTATGACTTCTGGGATTCTAACAGAGCATTTGCATACAAGGGAAAATGCATCATTATTCGATGTGTCCCATATGCAGCAATTGAAGTAATTCGTTTGGTCTTCTGTCTTTAGACCCACAAATCATATCCAAATTTATCCGATTAAATTATAATTGTGTTTAGGATCCTAGGAAGAGATCGTATAAAATTTTTTGAAAGGCTAGTGGTGGCAGATCTAGAAGAGATGCTATTTGGCACTTCAACATTATCCTTGCTTACTAACGAGCATGGCGGCATTATCGATGATACAATTATAAGCAAACATGCCGACCATCTTCATGTTGTGATCAATGCAGCGTGTGCAGATAAGGATTTGGCTCACATACGTAGAGAATTGGATAAAGTTCAAAGACAGGGTTGGTTAGTTCACATGGAAGTTATTGACGATTATGCTTTATTGGCTTTGCAAGGTTCAACTTACTATTTGATTATCTGTTATTTTCCCTAAAAAGTGTATTAAATTTTTTTTCTTATACAGGTCCGAAAGCTGCGGAAATTATTAAAAGATTAAGCGATAGAGACATAACAGACTTCAAATTTATGACGGCTAGATTTATGAATGTTAAGAAGATTGAACTTCACATTACACGATCTGGATACACTGGAGAAGACGGGTTTGAGGTGAATTAAATCCTCGTTTCTTTATAACTATGATATATTTAACCTTACCTAATACTTTTTTTTTATAGATTGCAGTATCTTATTTAGCTGCCAATCGATTTGCAAAACTTCTGTTGGGTTATCCAAGTGTACAGTTAGCTGGCCTCGGAGCTCGTGATAGTTTACGCTTAGAAGCCGGATTATGTTTATATGGTCATGATCTAGATGAATCAATAACTCCAGTAGAAGCGGGATTATCTTGGACAATAGGTATTGTAACTATTTACATTGACTTTTCGAACATATTTTAAATAATTTGTTTGCGTTAGGTAAACGTCGGAGAAAAGAAGGCGGATTTTTAGGGGCTGACCATATCCTAGGACAACTAAACGACAAATCGTTGGTATTGCGTCGCCGTATCGGGCTTATCGTGGAAGGTGCACCTGCTAGAGGTATTAGTTATTACAATTTGCATTGAAGATCAAAATGAACAAATTGTAATTTCTTTCATCTAAATTATCAAAGAAAATGCTGAAATATACGATACTGATGGAGAATTAATTGGTAAGAACTCAAGTGAGTATAAGTGTCTTCTTTATTTGGCTAATATTCCTTGTTTTTTTATTAAAAATAGGGAAAGTAACAAGTGGAGGTCCATCTCCATCCTTGCGAAAAAATATTGCAATGGGCTATGTGAAAACTGGATATAACAAGACCGGAACACCTTTAAAGGTGAAGGTTCGCGATCGTATGCAAGATGCAAAAGTTGAAAAAATGCCTTTTGTACCTGCAAGATACTATAAATTGAATGGATAAAACGGTTTAATGTTATCCTTTATATTTTGATATACAGTACATGTATTGAGTTTTCAAAACAAAGTAAAATATTAATTTAAACATATATACAGTATATAATAATAACATTTCTGCTATTATTGATTTTTTTTAATATTAAAATTAGTTAAAAAATAATTTTATTTCTATTATAAAATAAAAAATAATTTTTTTATTGATTTTTTATTAATATCAGAAACTTTATTAAGTTTCTTAATAAAAAACTTTATTTTATTTTTTTGATCAATTAGCTAATGCCTTTATTATTTAGTTTGCATGTATTACAGGAATTATTATAGATGTCAAAAGTTTATGGACACTTTTATTTTTTTAATTATAGCTATGTTTAATTAATATGGATATGAAAAATTTTATTATTATTATTTTTTTTTAAAACTATATAACAAAAACCTATTTTATTGAATTTAAAAACAATATATAATTTACTTAGATTTATAAAACTATTTTATTAATCTAATTTCAATAGTTAAGTTTATTTTATTTTATAATAAAATCAATTGATTGATATTTTACTTATCCCTTATGACTTGTTATTCTTATAAAGAATTAATGTGCTTAGATATTAATGTGTTTTTATAAAATTTTAAATATGTTTATCTTACATCTTTTATTAAGTATATATCAAATTTTATAAAATATATATATCTACAAGTATTATACATATATATTTATAGTTAATTTATTTATATATAATTTGTAACAATCTTGAATCACATGCTACATAACCTGATCATTCTGATGACTTGGATTCTTCATATTAGTTTAAGCATCCTAATTAGTCACATATGAATAATACAATATTAACTTCTAATAATATGATCCTATAATTATTCATATATATTTCCTAATTTGAAATAACTATAAATGATTATAAAATAATATTATTATATTTAAATAAACTTAGCTATAGTTGTAAATTAAAACTTTTTCCACTGATCCTTTTGCCAACTCAAAAAACAAACATTCTCAAAAGATTTTTTGTCTTTATGATAATAAAGTCTATATACTTTTCTTAAAAACAATACTGGTTTTAACCAGTCAAGCAAACAGAAACTATCACTTGTTTTATTTTTTAAAAACACTTTTTTTGTTTATTTTTGCAACTAAATACAAGAAACATATCTAAAAGATCTATGGCAAGAACATCTTTATAGGAAGAAAACTGACAAGAAAAAATATCCTTCAAAGATCCCTAAAAGATTCAAGAATCTAGAGAAAGAAGAATAAAGAAGTCTCCAGTCTTTTCATTATCTCTTTAACTTCCCACTTTTTTTTTTTCAAGTATGCTTTCTTTTTTCTGGTTTTTCTGGAAAATTTTGCCTACCTCAGTTTGACTCTGAATTTTTTAATCACACTGGATTTCCTGAAAGATGATTGGTCAAGGTCACAGATTAATTGATCATGTTAGCCACAGAAAAAATAAACAAGATATATACTTCTTATGTGTTTCCAGTCACGCAATACCAAACCGATGATGTAATTGGTTCTTGAAAGAGTTGAATAGTTTTTAGTTAAAGGAGTAGTATGGAAGTATTAAATAAAGTTGAAGTTGTGAGTAAAAGAGAAGCAACCCTTTTTTGTTTTTATCTTTTTATTTTCTTTTTTTCTTTCCTATTCTTTCTTAAGAACAGAAAGTAGCAACAAGGTCTAGATCCTATTCCAATTTGATAACAAGTTGAAGTATCAATATCTATTTCAAAAATAGTTGGAGAAATGGATCTTGAAACTATCTACTGGTTAAGTGAAACTATAATTTCAGAAGATATGGCTTGGGAGAAAAATCAACAATAGAAAACCAACATTCTTTTTAGTTAGAAATCTTTAAGTGTAAAGTTTCAAGAAATACTTACCTGAAAGTGCCCTTAAATATTCTTGGACATCAACTATTCCATTGAAAATTAAACAGTTTAACTGGCCACAGGTAGTGAGAAGTGAGAAATTATGAGAGACTTGGGTTTTAAGTTTACTGAAATAACTTTTTCAATGATAGTTAGAATAGATTAAACATGTAACGTAAATTATTTTGCTATTGACTCAATTCTCAAAATCCTCAAAAATAATTGCACCATGACTCAATTATTTATATGTTTTAATAGTGACTCAATT